TTTCGAAGTATAAAGTTTTTTGTACGTCTTGAACTTAAGATTAGCATTAATAGTTAATTATTTTTTTGTTTTTTTTTTATGAGTAATTGAAGTGAAAACAAAGAACGAAAAATGCATTATGCAATAAATTTATCGTTAAAATTGTCTGAACTGAGGTTCAGAATGTAGAAAATTTCATGATCTTCAAGTAATGAGAACGATTTTTGATTTTAGTCTACTACAAGAGGTTGTAGGCTTGAAGTTGTTGGGCCGTGTTTTTCGCACAGTGGCCGACGGAAAGCGGCATTTTGTAGCCGTCCTTCGGAATTTCGACTATTTTTTTGCCGTTTTCAAATCGTAAATAATAAACAAATTTAATAATCAAGATCGGAATTCCTACCACTTTTCATTCTCTTACAAAAAATACAAACTTTCCCTGATTTTTACCCAATATCAGGGGAGGGTGCCCTTAATTGGGTTCACAGTCTTTTTTTGATTAAAAAGATCTTATTTTTTTATGTGAGTATAGGTAAGTATGTTTATGACAGATTTGCAGAGTACATAAATATCTCAGTCCTGGGTATCTAGCCAATGTCCGATTGTGTAATGTCTTCCGATCTGAAGACAACTATTATGGATTTTTCTTTTTCGAATCTTTAGCGAGTGCATCAACAAACTAATACGGAAGGTTCAGATTTCCAATCGCAATCGATTGAGAAATCGAGAGTCACGAAAAGAATAACCTTCGCTGTACTCGTGGGTTTTTTTATCGCCAGTACCTTCTTTTAATTATAAGTATTTCCCTCCAAAGTTCCATAAAAATAATAATTTTTTGTTCATACTTTTCTCTTGAAGTTACGTTGCCTTGGTTATAATAATAAAGGATGTGAATATGAATATAGTAGAATTATCCTTTACTATTTAATACCAATTTAACGACCTCATATTCTTCTCAATTTTCCCTGAGTGTGTAACCCTTTCACTGCACTAACTCTAATAACTTTTACATCTGTGCATAAAAATTCATTATTTCCACGAAAGCAAGCATTGCCATTTGACAAAAAGCCTTCAACCAATTTTACGACACACACACACACATCACAACGCAGGCACACAAAGCAATGCCAGCAAAACCACATACGAATCTACCAAAAGTTACCAAAAACAAAAAAAAAACGTCAACAACGAGTTAACTGTGCTTGAGATTCTCAACAAATTCATTTCCTAATTGCAGCTCAGTGTTGACACCAGGCAGCCGCCACAATTCCGCAGTCGGCAGGCAACAGCATGCAGGCAGTGTTTAAACGACACCGCAAACAAACTCCTAGCAGCGAGCACCGCTGCCGGCGTAGACAGAGTGTGTGCTGCTGGTTGAATCAAGGATATGCGAATGGCCAACCCATAGCGTTAAAACTCTCTTTGTTGGTATGCGGAATTTGATTGTAACGTTTATACCGTTAGCTGATGGAGTCGGGGGGGCTTAAATGGCATAGAGAGTGGAAGAACCATAACAATAAAGGCAATAATTCCCGATAATAAATTAACTGAAATTCACTTATACATAATGCGGTCGGTTGGTACGTCGGTTCGTCGATCGTTTGCTCGACGATAAGTTGATGTGGAGGCAGCTCTGCGAATGCTATCTATCACAAGGGTTGGGTGGCGCCAAAAATCGTTATTAGCAACGTGCAAAAGTTTGCAGCATTCGACGCGGACGAACGACGGTCGAGCGACGATATATGTGCGTACATACATACGTACGTACATCTGTCTGTATGTGGTAAGAGCAGAAAATTAATAAAAATAAATTGAGTTGTCAAAAATGATATCCCAAATAAATACCACAGTGAGTAATCGTTTCAAGCAGGGCAGCGTGTGTAGGGGAGAGCGCAAAGTACCAACGTGAGATAAGCAGAAAACACAACGACTATGGAAGACACCATCCACCTAAGGGTTTGCTAGAGTGGCAGCACACGGGAAGAGGTGGCGCCTGAAATGACAGAAATTCAATTGCTTTATTACACGCGCTCCCACTCGCACTCAGGCCGGTGAGCAATAAAATACTTGCAGCCACGTATAAGCAAGAAAGAGAGCCTGCGCACGTTTGAGAGTATCAAGTTATTAAAGCTAGTGACGGTGAATAAAAGTGGAGGACGAGCAGAAATAAAAGCAGCGAAACAAAAGAATGAAAATAAAAATTATAATAAATGTAATGCGCTCAGTCAAAAATGAAAACATGGCGAGCGCCAAGCAAAAAATCAACCTCAAATGCTCCTAATAAAATAAAGTACTCAGGATAATGGTTAAAAATGAAGATTCCAAAAAAAAAAAAAAAAGAAGTGCTACAACAACAAAGAGCAGCAAGCAAAGACCAAATATTGCAAAAAAAAAAAACAATCAAACAAAAAGCAGCAACAAAAAGATTTGCACAAGAAAACAACGATGCTTTAGGAGAAATTCCTCTTTAGATGGGAGCAGCGAGTGGCTGGTGGTGGCCGCACGAGGAGGTCAGCAGCAATGAAGTAAAGGCAGACAATGAAAATTCAATTTTCGCAATGGCAGTGTTAAAATGAAGAAAACGAGGCAGTGAAATTGCAGAAATTTGCTCAGCCCAAGCAAGGTGGCGCAAGGAAGTACTCTGGTGTCGAGAGCGTAAGACGGCAACGAGCTTAAAATCATTATTATTATTTCGTAGCTACACACACGTATGCTTGTACGTGTCAGTATGCTATCAAAGCCTTTACCAAGCACCAACAACAATCAAAAAGAGAGAGAGAGCGCGTGCTTGCGCAAACGCTTCAGGCAAATAGCGGGAAATTTTCATTGCCATCAAAGGGGGAAACGCTCAAAAGCCACATAAGGACAGCCCACTGCAAGTCACACACACGCAGTCACGCTAATGATATAAACAAAAAAAATTGCGCACAACAACAACAATGCTAAACTCACCCTCGAAGCGTTAAACAACGGCAACAACATTCCAAACACCACCAACAACAAACATCAGTCAGCTGTATACATATACTCGTATGTAGATATGTATGTGTATGTATACAACCAGGCACCACGGCTACACGCCCAACCCTCTTGACGCATTTAAGCAAATTAGTTTTATTGTTTTTGTTGTTGCTGTAGTTTTCTTACTGTTTTTGCTGCTGCTGTTGTGGCATGTGGCAGCAGATTTGATCGTAATCAGTCGTTTGCCACAGCCAAGAGCAGCCACCAGCCAGCAGCCAGCAGCTAGCAGGAACAGCAGCCGCCTCAGCAGCAATATTGTGCTTGTCGCTGTCAGTTTAGTAGCTGTCGTTGTTGTTACAACAGTGTGCCACACAGCCGTCGCCGACGCCGCCGCCGCCGCCAACAACATTTGTGCCCCGTACAACATAATCAATTCAAATTAGAGCAACAGCCACGAAACGATATTAGATCATTCGCTGACGAGCTGTCTACTTGTAAGCACGCATGAAATACCGTTAGCCGGTTGAAAAATAGATAAAAGTGTTTTCCGTGTGTAAAAGTTAAAATAGACTTTGACGAAAAAGAATTGTTTGTATTAAAAAAAAAACGATTTTGCAGCGCAGGGTTGCATGGACTGTTGGATTTTTTAGTTTTAATAAATAAAAAAAGTTGAAGAAACGTTGAAAAATCTAAAAAAAAAAATCTTGGTAAACAGTGTGAAGAAAAAAAATTAATAAATGTAAAATAGGAGCAAAAATAATAATAAAAAGAAAAATGAAAAATAGAAATATTAAAATAAAAATATTTCAAACCTATTTCTTAAAAAACTAGTGGAGCAGTGTAGCATTTAATTAAAAATGCTTAAACTAACTAACTCAAAGTGTGCAAAATATTTTTGTTGAATTATTTTAACAATTTTTCATAGAAATTCCTGCAAAATTTTGTAAAAAAAAAATCAAACAATTTCGAAACTAAAAATTTTAATTTACGAATTATACGTATAAAAATACAGATTTAGATTTCTTAAAGAAAACTTATATTTTCTAAAATAAAAGTATATAAATGAAAGAAAAATAAATTTATTGATACTTGAAAAACACTCTAAAATCATAAAAAATACTTGCAATGCAAAAACAAAATACAAGTAAAAGTATTTTAAACATAATTTGCAAATAAAAATTTAAGATTTAAAAAACACTGCCTTAAAAAGGTATATAAGTATCTTCTTTTGAATACAATTTTCGGCAAAAATGCTCAAAAAATTATAGAAAAAATTTTAGTAAAATTATTACTAATTATTATGCAATGTTATAGACATTTTAAACAGAAAAGATACGAATAAAAAGAAAATAAAAAATTAAATTAAAATAAAGACTATTTTTTTCGAAGTAGCTTAAATACCGCTCAGTAATCGAAATTTACTGCAAAAAAATCTGATTTATTAACAAACAGTTCCGAAATACATTATTCAAGCTGCAAATAAGCAAAGAAATACTTAAGTGAAATTAATTAAGTTACTTATATCAAAATTTAAGCGATATTCTATGATTTTCAAAACTTAGCTTACAAAAATGTATAACACAATACGAATTAAATAGCGGATTTTAATAAAACTAACTCAAAAAAAATTGTTTAAGTGAAATAATCTTACAAAACATATGTATGTATATCAAAGAGATTTGAAAAAATTAGGTGACTAAAACTCAAAATTTCAAAGCGAACAAAAAAATTAAGTGAAACAAAACATATAAAAAAGTACTAAACAGAATAAATAAACAAAAAGAAAATTCTTGAACTTAACTTAGTTTAGAGAAAAGAAAAAAATTAAGTCGCAGTAAAAATGAAATAAATAAATTAAATAAAAATTTGATATAATAAAAAAGAATTTAATAGAATAAACAGTTAAAAAATATTTTATTTATTTAATTCATGCTGCGTCTGCAATAACTTAAAGCATTGAGGCTTGGAGATACCAAAAACAATAATACTTTTCACATTAATTTCCGCAATGAAAATTACAACTCCAAAGCACGCAAAAAAAACTCTCAAAAATTCGTAAAAAAAGACTCAAAAAATTCTTACTAAAAATTTTCAATAAAACTTCGCAGAATTCCTTAAACGTCCGCAGCAACACTAAATCATTCTCCCTAGAAACTTGCACTGAGCTTATAATAACACCTACAAATACACATACATACACACTCGACGCTAACAAAAAAGCGTTTTACACCTTCGCCAGCGAAGCGAGAAAAAACTTTCAAACTTCTACAGCCTGCATTTATTGCTTCCACACTGTTTGTTGTTCTTGCTGCTGTTTTTTTTTCGGTTTGTATGCGAAACACGCGCGCATCAAAGTTGAAAAGTGCAATTTAGGTGAGAGCGAAGGAAAAACTTTTCTGCTCAACAAAAGCGCATGGATTGCCTTTGGTTGTTGTTGTTTGTCTTTTTTTGTGTGGCCCGCTATTTAAACTAAAACTAAAACTAAATTACACGTGTGTACGTCATTTTGCTGTGCTAACAAAATATTAGTGTTTTTGTTGTTTTTGATTTTACACCAAGGAGTTCAACTGGCAGCTCACACACCTTGGCCGCGCTGCGTTCTGTTGCGTGTCTATTTTGTGGATAACTAAAGGTGTAATTGTGCGGCACAATAAGTTTGCTTGTAGTTGTTATTGTTTTTCGTTTTGTAAAAGGACGTGATTTTATTGCAAAATTTAAAAAAAAAAATAAAAATAAAAAGGCAGCGAAAATTATTGCCCCTGTTTGCTGAGTGAGGACGAGAAGGAGAAAATATTTGTGAGACAAGAAGAAAATACTAAATAGAAATAAAAATAAAAAAATCGCTATTAATTAACTGCAGTGTTTCAAAGCATTTCCGTTGCTGGAAATATATATGGTTAAAAAATAAACGCCCGCCAAGCACTTATACTCGAAAAGACGTCTTCAAGTTTACTCAGTTATTCTCAGCTTTTTCTTTAAAGCTCGTGTGGTTGGGTTTCCAGTTAGGAAACCCGCCAAGTAATTCACGTCAAAATTTTCACAGACGGAAATAAGGTAAATGCATCAACTAAAATATAAATTAATTATAAATAAATTATTTCATTTGCATTGCTTTAATACATTATAATATTTTTTAATATAATTGTACATATATATTTATTTAATATTCCGGTGAAAAAACATTTTTATTGCCGAAATAATTTAAGTCGATTTTAGAGGGTTATGAGGAGACATGCTGTTGTCTTTTCTTATGCAAATAACTTTACCGTAAAACTCATACTCTTTTACATTACATTCGGTATTTATTGAGAGTCGTAAATTAGCACAAACAAATTTGAAGATAACTTAATTCCTTTGAAAATCGCTCAATTGCCTCGACACGTTGATAAGAATCTCGGTACACATATTTTTTTTGGTATTTTTTTCTCACAAGAAGTTTACTTCCTTTTTTCCTTTCTTACTACAGAAGTGTAGTGTCGCCGCACCGACGGCTACTTCACGCATCCTTCAGCGTTGAAGTGTTTTCTTTCATGCCTTTCCTGTGAAATTGCACACGATTCAATAATACAACACTCAACGGTTAAATTAAATCATATGAAAATTAAGAAAAGAAGAAAGAAGAATGAGAGCAAAAACTAATTAAAGATAAAAAATAGTTTCCTACAGGATTCGAGAAATATTAAGTCCGAAATACTTTTAAAAATAAAAGAAAACAATGTAAAAAAAGGATAATAAAATAAAATAAAATAAGCCAAATCAAATAAATAGAATAAAATAAAATTAAATAAATTGGAATGAATTGAAATTAAATAAATGAAATAAATTAGAATATAAACAATTATAATAAAATAAAATGAGTAAAAATAAAATAAAATAAAATAAAATAAAATAAAATAAGTTAAAATAAAAAAAAGAAAATAAAATAAAATAAATAAAATAAAATAAAATAAAATAAAATAAAATAAAATAAAATAAAATAAAATAAAATAAAATAAAATAAAATAAAATAAAATGAATTAATTTAAATTAAATTAAATTAAATAAAATAAAATAATAAAATAAAATAAAATAATATAAAATAAAATATAAATATGAAATAAATTAAATAAAATTAAAATAAAATTATATTAATTAAAAAATTTAAAATAAAATAATAATGATTAAATTAAAAATTTAAATAAACCAAAAATAATATAAAATAAAATAAGAAAATCGAAAATAATGAAATCAAATAATGTAATAAAAAATCAAAATAATATAAAGTGATTAAAATAAAATGGAACTAAAACAATTATAAATGTATTAATTTTTGGAATTTTTTTTTTGTGCAGTAGCCAAGCCTTGGCGACTGCGGTAACCGAATGGTTAGCATTGAGTACTACAATTCGAAAGGCCAGGGTTCAAATCCTGGTACGACCAACATCCAAAATTTGTAGAAAATTAATTTGAATAAAAAATTACGTTAAATTTTCTAGTTGCGTTGCCCCTCGGCAGAGAATGTCAACCCCTCCGTGAGTATTTCTGATATGAAAAACAAACGTTCCTCTTAAAAACCCGTCCGCCGATCGGAGGGGCTTAGTATAAACTGTAAATACCTCCAATTATATATATATATATATATATATATATATATATATATATATATATATATATATATACATTTATAATTTTTTTGAGTTCTATTTTATTTCTATATATATAATTGGCGCTTTGAAACCACTGAAGCGATTTTTGGCAAAGCTCCTCCTCCAAATTTTTTTCCGGCTGAGTTTTTTAAATAAAGAGACCAACAAAGTGCTTGCTACAACTTTATTGTAGAGTATGGATGAAAGCACGCCTGGCGATCGGTATCTAAGGGTGCACTGACCAAATAATATGAGATAATCCTGGTTATAAGGATTTATTAGTTGTAAGATAGATACTACCGACAACGAACTGATTGGATGTTACCAGTGTGGCTTCAGACCAGGGAAATATTCACAATGCGCCTAATCTTGAAAGACACTTATGATACTTTTCTAGCTGAAATTTCTCTGCAAAACTTAAATGACCGTGTAAACTGACGCTGAGGTATATAAAATTTTACCTCAGAATTGGGAGCCGTTTGATAATATCAATGTTTCATACAGAGTACTCGTTAGATTGAAACTTCTAGAAATTGAAAAATGGCAAACGGGTCTTCGAAGAATTAATACAACAATAGATTATATGGCTGATGTTGGTGCAGGGGTAGAGCACGCGCCTGTTGATCCGTTGGTTCGATCCCTGCCATAAGAAGTCTAATAAGAAGATGTGGTGATCTCCGAAACATCTGTCAATTCTAATATTTTTTTTTTGTTGTATAACAAAAATATTCAATTCATACAAACCAACCAGGCCTGTAGCTCGCTAAAAGAATTACAATTTTATTTTATTCGAAATTTTTTTTTTACACCAAACTTCAAAACATCATTAATTACAATGAAAAAAAAAACAAAAACATTTTTAGAAATAAAAAACATTTCACGTTTATATTTAAAAAAAAGTACTCAATTAAAAACTGCCTTTGAATAATTGTTGGTAATTAAAAGGCGGCTGTCAAACAAGTCACCATAGACCATAGTGACCACCACGCAGTATCCAATGAATCGCATATGAACACGCGTATGCACATATGGTTCAAAGAATAAATGTTTCATGCTCCTTGCAAACTCATGTTTTGCATACGAACCATTTAAAGCAGAGGCGCCATCATGAAAACGATGCGTATGTGCGGCGAAAAGTGACTTGTAGGAAAAACGACGAAAGAAAAATGAAGATATATTTTTCTACAAGGTACTTCTCCGATCCAATAGGACCTCCGATAGCAAGAAACGTCTTTAAGAAGCTTTAAAAAATGTGTGCAAAGAGTAAAAAGCTATCTCTTTGCGGGTATTCTGAGATGTTTTCCTATAAATGGAGCCATTAGGGCTTTCCCACTCAGACCGGCGTCTGCTTTTTGGGAAGCTTCTTGACTTGGTAGGCCTCTAGTGGCGCTAAAACTTAACCACAATGCAAATAGTTCTTTGGGTTTACTTTCTCAAGTGAGCAATTTTTTCTTACCCTCACTGAAAAACTCCCACTGGAATGCTAGTCACGAGGCCTGTAAGCTAAAAGTCAAACAAAAATAAGTATCTGCATTTCCTGCTGAGCATTTTTTAGCAATACATACATACATATACATGTAAGTATATACATATATCCCAGCTATACTAGCACATTGCTCCATGGCGTCCCACACTAACAGTGACCAATAAAATCATATGCCAAATAGCAGGCCGCCAAATTAAAATTTGTACAAACAGTAAAGTATGGCACATAACAACTGCAACAACAAGAGTAAAAAAGTAACAAATATTGTTGAAATTAAATTGATAAACCACAAATTAATTGGCTGGACGTTGTTGGCTGCGTGTGTACCTCAGAGTGATACATGGAGACATGTGCATACATACATACATATATATGTATAGGTGGGCTCATAAGTTGCATGGACTATTAGTCGATTGGTGAGCGCCAAGCGCGCTGTCGCCACACGCCTTTGGAGCCACGCCAATACGCGGATGATATCGAGAAATAACATATTTTTTTAATGGCAAACGTTGTATAAATGTGGCAGCAAAAATATATGAAAAAGAGAAATTAGCAGCTTAAGAAATGACTTTTTGCAAGTTTTTGCATTCTTAATTTTTTTTTAAATTTTTTTTAAATTTTTTTTTTATTAAATTTTTTTTTTTGCTTTTTTTATTGCATGCGATTTTTTCTCCATCATTCGTTGCAAATTTGGTTTTAATTTAACTCAATTCAATAAAGAAATTATTGAATGAAATTGCGGAAATTCGATTGAACTCAAAGTTTGTTGGTTTGTATGTATGTATGTGTGTAAATATGTGCAATTTATCGTTGGAGCCGCAAACTCATTTGCTGATTCAATGGCGTTTATAAACTTTGTTTGCATATACGAGTATATACATATATACAATATATACGGCTGTATGTACATAAATATGTATACAAGCGGTTTGTGCGCAATCTGCAATTCATCTCCTTCTCCTATCTCTCTATCTATCTACCATAAGCGCTCATCCAGTCACCCATATATACATACATACATTCAGCCAACCAAGCAACCATCGGCTCAGTCGGTTTTGTATCCAATTGAAATTAAATTGAATTGATGATTGTAAATTAAAAGTGGAATGCGCTAATTTCAATTTTCCTATAAAAACCACAAGTGAAATGAAATTATTCTTTGCGAATGCAGATATAATGCGATATATATGTATGTATTTTTTAAAGCTTATAATAATTAGTTTGCGGCTATGAAATCAGTGTTTGCATTGAGTTTTATATTAAGAAAATTATAATTATTATTATTTGGCGCACAGTGTAGTTCTGAGAAGCATCTGGAATTATGCGAAAGTAAAAAAGTTAATTTTCTAGGGGCAAAAAATTTTGCAATTTTTCCTGAAAGTAGCCAATTCTAGTTCAAGATAAAATCTTTTTTTTTTTTTTGAGAGTGTAAGTTTTTTTGTTAGCCCCGGTATCGATCTTTTGGATCTTCCTTCTTTTGTCTGCTACCTCATCTCCTAATCTTAAGCAAATGCTCATCTCTTATTGTGGCTCTTAAGACCCGCCTAATTAGCGAAAGTCCAATTTGAAATCTTCCTTGTTTTAAAAATTTTTTTTTTCTGATTTTGGGGTCGCTTTGCAATTCTCTCGAACATGAGAGCTGTTCGAGCGCTTTATTGGCGTCGACACCGCTTACGCGAATATATCCGACTCCACCACATTGCTTCATTATTTTCTTCTACCCGCCAATTTCAGCCATGTTCCTCTCTATTTGGTCCTCCGAACGGTGTAAAGGCCTTTCTTATTCTCTGCTTCCAATGGCGAGTACTGCATCGAAAACATTCAAAGCTAGAGTATTCTTATCTATCCTTACCACATCACCTAGGCAGGGTGACCGCTGATTTTTTTCACCCATAAAGCTCGTTATTGCATCGGCTGTGGTATTCGCCGTTCTTGAAAACTCC